AATGATGTCAGCTTAGAGACTAAGGTGTGTCTGATCCAGGCCATGATCTTTGCAGTTACTTGCTTCTTATAGTAGAGCTGGACAATAACTAAGGGTGACAGAAGAATTTATGCTTTTGACTTGTGGTACTGGAGAAGAGTCTTGAACATACCATGGACCGCCAAGAAAACAAATAGGTGTTTTGGAGAGGGTGAAACCAAGTTTCTTCTTGGAGGCTAGGATTTTAAAGCTCTGTCTCACATACTTTGGGGCATGTGGCCAAGAGGGACTCACCCTTGGAGAAGAGCATCATCTTTGGAAGAGTAGAGGGGTGGCACAGGAGAGGAAGACCCCTTATGAGATGGATTGGCATGGTAACTGGGTCAGTGGGATCAGGCGTGTTGGAGTCAATGAGACTGGTTCAGGATAGGGCAGAGTTCAGAGCTGTTGGACATAGGATTGCTGCGAGTCGCAGGCGACTTGATGGCACCTAACACCTAGAAGTTTGTCTCTGGAAGGCGTGGCCAGCAGGGGGCACCCAAGGGCAAAGTCTCGCCGTGGGAACAGCCCTTGGCTGGGGCAGAGACCAGAGAAACAGGGTCAGAGGAAAGCAGGGGAGCCTGGGTTCCAAGTGCAGAGGGGTTTGTGGGGGTTTTATTTGTTTGTTTTTTAAGTGATAGGGATGTTCTAGATCTAGACAGAGGCAGTGGTGGCCCAACATTGTCCTAAATGTCACTGGCTGGCCATCCACTTTACCACCAGGGAGGAACACTCTCCTTAGGACAGACAACCAGTCTTCTGAGAGCAAAAGGTGAGTGTTTGCCCAGAGATAAAGTTCACAAGGCCAGAAAGGAGAGGAGGAATGGAAATGAGAAACAACAGGGAGCAGGAAGGGTGTGATTCCACCTTAGGGACTGCCTCCCGCGTCAAGAAGCAGAGTGTCTAAGTGTGGCTTAATGGAAAACCAATCTGCTCTGCAAACTCTTACTCATATCCTAACAAAAAGTTCCGAAAAGGTGCACTTTATACATTTACAAAGCAACGGTGAAGCCTAAAACCTCAAAGGCTCTTACAGGGGTATGGGTGCAGATCCACAGAGAAGGTGAGGCCTGGCCGGAGGGAACTTCCTACCTGTGGCACCTGAAGTTGGCTGTTTGTATCAGAGTGTGAGGGGCCCTTTCAGCCTCCACCTCACTTGGCACCTGTGACTCAGGCAGGACGGGGCAGATGGAAAAGTACCTTCCGTGCAGAGCCCAGCTGAACATGGAGGTGGCACTGGCGGGTTCTGGCACTCTGGGCTGCAGCCCCCGGCGGACCACCGGCATCACCCCATTGGGGACACGTTCTGGGGTGTGTGGGGGTGTTTGCCCTGCTGTGTCTGTCACAGGCGGCGTCCCCATGGGGAACATGTTCTGTGGGTTGCTGGCCCTAGAGTGTCTGTTAGAAGTGGCTCGAGATTTACTGAGTTGTTTGGCCTTTTATTTGGTTTTCACAAGAGACCTGCAAGATGATCTGAACTGAAGGCAGGGTGTCCGCCCTGCGAAGCCGGGAAAGGGAAAACATGATGGCCAGGAACTGGCCACCCACTGCCTGCCCGCTGTCCACGGCCTGGCTGCATCCAGGGGCCAGGGTTCAAAACCTCAACGCCCTGAGTCTGCGGCCAGTGCTCCGTGTGGGGTCAGCCTCACCCATTTCCATCAGTCTGCTAATACTAATGGCAGGTCCCGGGGTGCAGAGGGAGGAGGGAGACCCCCTTGGCCAGCCCCCTCTAAGCCCACACAGTGGGAGCTGCCACAGCCTCTGTTGCTCCCAGTGAAAGGCCCGGGCAAGGGGTTGCTGGGGTGCCCTGCCAGGCCCCGGCCCCTTGTACTGGGAGTAGGCGAGACAATGATCAGGGAGCCCCTCCCCCCAGCAAGGAGGAAGGGGGGGCCTTGAGAGCTCTGAGGGGTAGGTAGGTGGGGTTTTTGAAATGAGGTCTCAAGGGCTAGGATTCTCAAGACCTGGGGTGGGGAGTGGAGTCTTGCCATCCTTGGGGTCAGAGTGGGCAGCAACTCAAGGTCAGCTGTGGGGGCTTGAGCCACAGCTGGCCACAGGCTACTCCTCTAGCCCATGTGGGTCACAGCAGGTAGAGGGGTCACTGGGAAGCGTCTGGGAAGTTCTTGTTCTTGAGTCCCCTGTGGTCTGGAGAAGACCTCGGTTTTGGTCACGTAACTGCCCCTCGTTTTGCCACCTCTAGGCCCCTCCATGCCCTTGGCATCTACTCAGATCCATGGGTGAACCCTGTGACTTGAGCCACAGCTGGCCATGGGTCACTCACCTGGTTAGCAGGGATGGCTAGGTCATCCTTAGCCCAGGCACTGTGCTAAGCATTTGGCTGTTAACCTAAAGGTCAGAGGTTCAAACCAAACAGTCGCCCCCTGAGAGAATGATGAGGTAGCCTGCACCCATTAAGATTTATTTACCGCCTCGAAGCCCAGTGGAGGGTGACCCTGACTTGGAATGCACTCAATGGCAGTGTTGTTAATCCCTCACCAAAGTGAAAAGTCACACAGTGCGTGAGCACAACCCCCCACCCATGTGCTGCTCCTAAAACACTGACCACAGTGCCCCTGCCCCCTTTTGAGGGCAGAACCCTAGTGGGCACCCAGCAAGTGCCTGAGGGATGCAGATGGTGACCACCAGACTCAAGCCCGGGCTGTGGGCTGGACAGCGGAGCCTCACAGTGCCCTCTGGCGGCCGTGTTGCAGAGGCCAAGCTTATCCTCTCCGTGATGTCCATGTCCCCTGGCCTCGTCCACCAAGGAGGTGGCCACCATTGGTGACATGTCAGCCCCTGAAGCAGCAGCTCTTCTCTGAGGCAGCAGGCACGTCGGGCCTCACAGCTGCCCAGCAGTTAGGCGAGCTGGACGTCAGCCTGGCCAAGTCGGCTTTGCTATGCTCAGTTCTGTCAGGACACTAGTTACTAATGACCACTGAGAACGAGGAGAGCACGAACGACCCAACATCGTTTATAACTGTCAGAACTTTGCAGAAATAGAAACGACCGCTGTCGATTCTGGCTCACAGCAGCCGCACAGGAGAGAACCACCCCTTCGGAGCTCCAAGGTGGGAAGCTGAGAAAGGATGGACCTGGGCTTTCGTTAGAGCACGAGTGAGGGGCTGTCAGCAAACCCAAACCCGCTGCTGGGTCAATTCCAGCTTTTAGCAAACACCCCTCACAGGTGCAGTCAGACCGACTCGGAGCTGACCCTCCAGTTACCTCACACGTAAGCCGCAGGGGTGGGGGACTGGCCGCAGGGGTGGGAGACTGGCCCAGGGGTGGGGGACTGGACTAGAGGCAGTCGCTGACACGGCGGGAGTGGGGTGACCTCAGAGCCCTAGGTGATGGTAAAGGGCTGAGAGCCGGTCAGCGTGATGCAGTGGGGATGGTCAGGAGGTGCTGCTGGGTTGCCCTGACGAGGCCGGGACGGTTGGGGACTGGGCAGCACTGGGGAGGGGCAGCTGAGGAAGACACAGGAGAGCCATCTGGGTCGGGTTCTCTGAGAACTGTCAGCCGGTTAGTTTATTTCATAGAAAAGTTACACTGGAGGAAGAGGCTCAGGGCCCCCGCCGAGTCCCACAGGGGCCAACCGCTCCAGTGACTTGATAACATTTTATAACAGGAAATAACATATTAGGAGCCTCCTGTGGAAGCCCAGCACACACCTGACCCACACCACAGATATGAGATGGGGACGCAGCTTGCTCCCCCAATGTGCAGACAGGCGGCTCGCGCCCAGCCACACATGCTCCGTGACGTGTCCGGGCTTTGTTCATATGGCTGCCAGCTGTGGGCCAAGTAGGTCCCTTGGTGACTTTGCTTCAACAGTGGTATAAGCCCTGATTAGAATGGGGTACAGATTCATTTCTTAAAAATAAAATAACAGGCCACAGCTGAACAGAATGAGAGGCAAATGCCAGACTTTCTGGAAGACTCTGGAACCTGCATGAATTGATTCTCACTTCTTGAGGCATCTGCAAAGCTTGTGCAAACCAGGCGGGTTAAGGCGAGTCCCCGGGAGGGGAATGTCCGCAGTCCCGTCTCGTGCCGTGGGGCTGGAGAAGAGTAAACATAAATGACACTGCGACGAGACTGGCCACTGCCACCACGTGTCCTGCTTCTTCCCGGCGCCCACAACCAAGGCACAGTCACTCCTGCCAGGGCGTGGCTTCCCGTCCCTCCTTCCAGAGTCACCAGGCTCACTTGTGTGGGTCGCCATCCCACACCCTGATAAGAGGCCCCCCCAGGACACTGCTGTCCCATTCTGAGGGCGTGGCTGATCGCTGCTTGTCTGGAGGAAAGGAAACATCCGTTCCCAGGCCTGCGCACTCAGATGGGAAAACGCTGGGGGCTGCTCTTTGGATGGAGCCACTGTTGAACTTGCAGGACATGGGGCAAGCACCCCTTCTCAGAATGTCCCCTCGAAAAGCAGCATGTTTGCTGTTGACGGCCACGTAGCCTGCCTCCCTCTCCACCCCACTGCTGGCTTCACACTCGCTCACACAGGACCTGCCAGGGGCTGAGGAATGCCGCTTCTCTGGTGGCAGCCTCAGATGGTTGCTCTGGGCACACGGGTCCCTCACAGACTCAGTGCCAGGCAAATGTCAGCACGGGTCAAGACGGAGATGAGTTTACTATGTAAACAGCCCTCTGCGATGAGGCTGGGCTGCCCACGAAGCCCGGACACCCTGGAGCAGCCAGTCTGGAGACTCGTGGTAATTGGATTCTTCATGACTGAAAATGCAGCTCATCACAGGATTGCAGCAGCCCGCAGGATAACCCCAACAGCTTCCAGAAAACGCAGCTTGCTTAGTACAAGTCCTTGCTGCACAGGAAGAGAACATCTGGTTTCTTGGAGTGGCTGCACCCGCCAGTGACTGAAGGCAGAAAACGGCCTGCTCGGCGCACAGGTCCAGGGCGCCCTGCGGGGCCAGACGAGCCCTCAGACCAGGTGGAAACGAGACCAAAGCCGTCGGCGCACCTCATACTGAGAACTCCGGGCCGCCTCTCCGGGCTCTTGTCTGCAGCCGCTTGAACCGAAATCCCACGAAGGGGTTCATCCAGAGGAGCGAGGGGGGCCCCCCAAAGACAGATTTCATCCCCTCCCAGCGCAGCCTCCGTTCCCACGTGGGCTTCTCACTCTTCAATCGCTCGATCTCCTGTGGACAGAGGGAGAGAGACGGAGAGGTGACCGCTCTGCCCGGCAGACACAGCTCAGACGTCAGGGGACCCTAGTGAGACCCTGGCCCCATCTGGGCCACCTGAGGTCCTTTGGGAAGACCCAGGCCTCACGTCGCCCTCCCGAGACCCAGGCCCCACTGGATCAATCTGGAGATTCCCACGACCTCTACCAACAGTGCCTCGGGCACACGGACAGGCTTTGTGGTCATGTCCTCTGCGGGAGTCCGGATCGTGGGGAGACGGAAAGACAGGAGGCAGATGAAGGTGAGTACCTATCACGCCCAGGAAGAAGGTGCACGTTCACACCCAGACCCCTTCACCCTCTCCTGCACTCACTCAGGTGTGGGAAGCCAGACTGCAAACTACATACAAACAGGAAACCAAATGCTGTAGCAGGACATGGGGGGGCAGGTATGAGCTGGAATTCCCCTTGAAGCTTAGGTGTTTCCACAATTCCTGCACTGTGTTTGCTAACCCCTCCCTCCTGAGTCACGCACAAGGGTTTCAATAGAGCGTAGCTTCCTTTACCTAGGATTCTGTGACTCGCTCCCTGACAATTCTCAATAAAGGCCCAGGGCTCCCCGCTGCAGTCCTTCCAGCTGTTCATCCCCTGCTTTACGAAGACACTCAACTCCACCATGCGCCACCTCTGTTCATGACCAAATGCACGCACGTACCTGTTCACACATGCTCATGTTCACGCTCACAACCCTGTTCACACTCGTGCGCAGACCCGTTCTCACGTGGATTCTCTCACACACACATTCACGCTCGTGCTCACACACTGTTCTCACGTGGATTCTCACACACACGTTCACACTCGTGTGCAGACCCGTTCTCACGTGGATTCTCTCACACATGTTCACACTCGTGTGCAGACCCGTTCTCACGTGGATTCTCTCACACAC